CGCCTTTAACTGACATAGATATGTATATGTTTACATATATATATATATATATGTATATATATGTATGTTGTATGGAGGTCAATTCCACATTGCCTATCATAATTTATTATTCATTGGTTTTGCCGTTGTATTTATTTTTGTACTTTGCAAATGCCGTCGACAGCTGCGCAATAAATATATAATAAAAATAAAGAAATAAACAACAAATTTGTTCGAATAAATATTTAAATGCGAATTTCGCATATTATATTTATTTTAATTGATGCCAATTAAAGATGCTGCAGCCTTCCAAGGATCCACACACACATAACGGTAACTGGCTAGCTATTTATTTAATGCCTGACCATGGTCAATGTTTCTATTGGTCAATCCACCACCTCTCTCTTCAGCCCCCCCTTAAGCAGTTCACAAAATTTGTTTACGTTTTGGTGGACGCGACGAGGAGCATATAATTTATTTTAGCCAAGATGTCCTTGCCAAGTGTGTGTTAGTGTGTGTGTGTGTTCGCCTCATTGCTGCCTGTCAGCGCCTCCAAGATAAGCTGACTGCCGAGAAATATGCGAAAGCAACTCGGCGTCTGTCACAACCCCAAGCAGCCCCTCCCCCACTCCTGCTCCTCTCACGAATGTGAGAATAATGAGCCAGTGGAGCAGAGAGAGAGAGAAAGAGCGAAGAAGTGGAAGGCGTAGCGAATGTGAGCAAAAATATAGCAAAAGCATCGCTTCTCGAAGAAGAAGCAGCACCAGCAAGAAGAACACATAAATAAACTGATGGCGGTATTTAATTGGTCACGCCGGCATACAAAACAAAACTGGAAAGCAAAAGCGAACAATTCAAGAAGATAACAAGTGTCGCGACTGCGAGATACCCTGTGAAGCAGTTAAGATTATTAAGCATGCTTGGAAATGGTCTCATTTCTTATGGCAGGCACAGGCACTGAAGAGGTCGATATGAGAATACATTAACTCGACTATAACTTGTATGTTTCTTATCCGATCTTGATGAAATTTGATAAGTTGATCAGGAATGTGTCAACGTTTATTATATATTACTGAGAAGTCTCTGCCTTTAAAATGGTGTTTTTTATAGCTATCGGAAATCGAGATGTATCGATATTCGCAAAACGAACGTAACTATCGATAAATATAAATATACTTAATCTGCGCTGGGTATACGGGAGCACATATTCAAAATTTGAAGTCTCCAGCAAAACCAATATACCTTTTTTACAGATATTCAATGCACCCACAACTACCCAGTGCAGTGACGCTCAAACTGTTGCCAAGGCTAGTCGTCCAGTTGCTGCGAGAGGTTAATATGTGCGACTGATTTATGTAGCCAGCAGCAGCCAAAGCAAAAGCAGCAGCGAAAGCAGAAAAAGCAGCACCAGCAGCCACAGCTAAAGAGCCGCCTTTGGTTTGCGAATCGGACGTGAGATGGCGCCAGGCGCCAAGCGCACGCAGCACATCCTTCATTCTACCAACTCCCTCCCCCTCCTCCATCAGTACACACTTGCTTATCCACACCCCCCCCCCTCCACCCAACCCCCTCTCGCGACTCGACGCATTATAAATGATTTTAATAATTTGAAACGATTTGTTTAGTTCTGCATCAAGTCGGATAAACGTCGATGATTAATTAGCTAAGGGCGAGCTAGCGAGCTAGCGAGCGAGCGAGATAGGAAGATAGAGAGAAAGGGAGAGAAAGCAGATGTTGTTGTTGTTTCCATTACATAAGCATGTTTTCTATTTTGCCCATTTTTATCGCTTAGCCATTAAATTCCATGTTTCCATTGTGTGCCATTTGCCTATGCAGCATGAAAGAGCACGAAATAAGCAGAAGCAAAGAGTATGAGTGTGAGAGAGAGAGAAAGAGAGAGATAGATAGAGAGGGAGAGGGGAGAGAGACAGCGCCCTCTACTGCCGTTAATCAACTTTGTGTTTTGTTCGCGCATCTTTCTTAAAGCGAATATTAATTGGTCTTCCACCCCTCTCTTATTGTTTTTTTTATGCAAAAAAATACTCGAGTTGTGATTCTCGTGTTAGTTAATTGATAAATGAATAAAGCTTGAGTTTGAGTGTATTTATGACACACACACATAAACAACAAACATACAAAAGAATGGCTAATGCTGAAATTCTTAGCGAAGCAAAAGTCAAAGTAAAGTTACTTATCCAGCAGCTAAAGGAATCCATTACGAATTTCTTTCGAATGTGGACAGCTATCGCATATAACTCTGCTTATAAATTAAAAACCATTACGAATGCATTCGGTAATGAAGAGGGTTTTCACTAGTTTGCTTCTAGGCGCTACCCGTTTGCCAATTTCACAAAAAGCAGCTCTCCCCTCTCTGATTATGTCGCTGTTAGTTAACATAACATAGATGATCTGTTAGTCTGCTTGGAAATGTTAACCGTATTTTATTATGCTGAATAATGGTGTAAATAAATATGGCGCTGCTGCGTTTGGCTCTTATTTTGTAATTAAATTTGCAAAAAATTAATTATTTACGCATTTCAACGCAACGGCCTTTGGGCAACTTTTAAATGCAATTTATGCATATGCATTCGCAAATATTTGCATTGAAATGTTACACACAGTAAACAAATTGAAATTATTCTTCTATGCATAAGAATGTGTGTGCGTAAGCAAATGTATACATATTCTGTGTGTGTTGTGTTGTGTGTGTGTGCGTGTATGTGTATGCGTATTTGACTTCGCAGTTAGCCGCAACCGAATGCAAATCTCTCTATTTCTCTCCCAATCTCTCCACGGAACTAGAAACGGTTTTATTCTTTGTCATTTGTTGCATAGGACTGTGTTGGATTAGATACCTTTTTCGGCAATTTGTCCAACTAAACTGTTTGGCAATTTATCTGTGCTTCCTTTATTGACACATTTAATTCATAATTGTCAACGTTATTTGCCGCACAAACTTAAAGCGATAAATTCAAGTGTAAAGAGTTATAAATTTCTGCTTTTGCGAATTTCACATAGCATAAATTGACATTGTGTAATTTCAGTGAAAATGAATACACACACACACACAATCACACGTATAAATCATAATGCAAGACAAATACTTTAAAAATGTGTTGTTAACTCACAATTTACCGTTAATTCACAATTTGCATATTTGCGTATTTATTGACGCTTCAACAGATTTCAAGCATAATTCACATTCCGCTTTATTATTATTACATTTACAATTTAAATCATTATAGTAATATATTTTATTAAATACCATTAAATAAATGCGGTCAGCTTAAACCTATGCGCATACATATATACATACACATACATACATCCACATATATACAATTGCGGTCAAAATGATATAAACATTCTCATATTTTTTCTTAGGAATGAAAATGAAATTAATTTACTGTTAATTAAATTTAAATGAGGTGAGTAAAATAATGGTTTTCTTTTCTCTCTCCCTTTTTTAAGAGTGGTGCTATTATTAGTTTCGCAACTGTATGTATTTGTGTGTGTGCAAAGATGTCAGTTGTACATTAATGTAGGTTTGTGTATGTGAGTGTGTGTGTGTGTGTTTGTGTTTCTGCTAATTAAAATGACCAATCACTGCCAAACCGTAGCGCGTCATTAAGCTTCATTTGATACTGCTTCTCTTTGCTCTGCTTGATTATTGCTCCTTGCTTTGGCTGAGCGCATGACAAAGCTATTTAATTAATTGGAAAAATCAAGAGTTTCAATTACGTGTGGCATGCATTGATGCAAATCTACACCCACACACACACGCAAGATTTAAATATAACAGCGAGAGAGAGATAGAGAGAGGTGCATTCTTAAAATAGTAACATAAGTAGTGTGTTTAGGAGAGGAGTGGAGAAGAAGAGTGTGTGTCATGTTAAGTTTTATACTCTTCTTCTGTAATGCATAAATAAAATATGCCTCTCGCTCTATCTCTCTCACTCTCGCATAATTGCAATCGTTGCACGTTCGATTTGTTTGAGTGCAAATTGATGGCTTATGTTAATCACTCAATGTTAACAGCTACAATCATGTTCACACACACACACACACTCACACTGGATTGCATTCAATTACTTAGCATAATTGAATGCCCCTTTCAGAAATGGTTGAATGGCTGACTGAAGTGTTTAATTTCATTTATATATCGCATGTGCCGCACCTGATGCACTCCCATCTTTTTTTGTTGTCGCAATTAATTAATAAATTGCACTCAACGCGATGAGTGATTTGTCTTCGAGGTGCAATAAAACTGACACCGTTATTATGTCAACAGTTACAGTTTACAGTTTGTGGGTCACTGGGCGTGCTGGTGTTGATAAATTGGATGAACACGTAACGAAATGAAAGAAAGAAAAGTCAATGCGAATATGCAGATTAAATTTACAGCTACTTACTGTCCCCTGCTAATTGCACTCAAAACTGCACTCTCTCTCTCTCCCTCTCGCTGCTAGTTAACTTACATAGAAGATCGCTTTGGTTTGGAAACAGTTGTTCATTGAAATGTTAATTGTATGCTATTTGACTCTTGACTTTTATGTTGTAATTAAATTAAATTAAACAAACATTATACAGCTATTTGACAACAGCTCTTGCTTGGCTTGTGTATTGGCTATAGTTTCGAATAGTTTGTAACACATACGGTTCGAGGCTTAGCTACATTAAGATTTGTGTTTTGTTGATAAACAATCTCTCTCCCGCTCACCTTGTCTTGGCGGTGAGTAAATTCGAGGCTGATGAGAGTGATCGGGAGAAATCATTTGTGTTTTCTATTGAATTACAGTCTGAAAATAAATTTAAAAGCTTGATGGTGATTGTGTGTAACGTCTCTCATTTGGTATATGCATTGGCTAACGTTTCTGTTTAGTGGAAACAATCCTAACGACAAGAGTATTGTACAGTTTAGTGATAACTGTGTGCTACTATCACTTCTTTGGCTTGTGTATTGGCTATAGTTTGTTAAGCTCAACGAAAATGTTTGCGACAACTGCGGTTCGAGGCTCAGCTAAGTTAAGAGTTGTGATTTTATTAAAAATTAAAATACGTACATTTCACATTTACAATAATATGACGAGAATTGCAACAAAGGTTATAGAGTCTCTTACATCTATTCATATATATATAGAAATACCGCTCAGCTCAACTCAAAAGCGGATTTACCGTGTTTGATTAGAAATATCGATTTCGATTTCGGGTTTTTTACGATTAGCAACTAAAGAGTAGTTTTTTCTTTTAATATACATTAACAGCAGAGCACCGGCAGACATCGCTCTCTCTCTCTCACTCACTCACTCACTCCCACTCTCTCTCTCTCTCTCTGTCTCTGTCTCGCTCACTTTGTTTTGGCTGTGCGCAAATTCGATGCTGATAGTAAGGATCTGGACGAGGGGGGAGGCGTGGGACGCTCATCGATGTGGTAACCATTGTGGCGCCTCGCTGAGTGCAACTCCTGCTTGCGTCCCAAACGATTCAACGTGCTGGCACTCGTTGCCCCATTATGCGGCGGCGGCTTGCGTGGCAACGTTGAAGTCTACAAAAAAAATTTGAACAAATAAGATTCGATTTTAGCTGGCGAGGATTGGAATTACGAACTAACTGGGATAACTTACGCGCTTGTTTTGCTCCTGCGAGTAGTTGATCTCGTAGCCCTCGCTGATGTGCTTCGGCTTCCAGGGCGCCAGCATCGATACGGATCGGGAAACGGTGCGCGTCATTGGCTGCAACGGTGGCTTCCCATTCGCACCGCCTCCTCCAGCCTTGCGCAGATCCTCGCGCGACATGGAGCGACGCCGGAGATTGTATGGCTGTGGTATATCGCCCACGGTGGTGGCATGCAAATAGACAACACTGCGCTGGCTATTGAGACTCGACTCGCCCTCGGTGCCAGAACTCTCAGCCGGATAACGATCGCGTTCTCTGAGAAGAACAAAAACGGCAAGGATTAGGCGTGTCTTAGGAAGGAGGAGTATTTAAGTAATTCACAAATAGTATTTATGTATATGATTAAAAACCATGACAAAGTTATGTATATGGATAGCTCTGATTAGTCACCAGGACTTAGAGCAGCTGGTGCTGGGCAATGGGAAGCCTCAAAGGGCTTAAAGGGACTCACTTGTTGTAGGCGCCGGCATCTGGTGCACTGGGCGTCAAGCCGCGTCGGTCTGCGCTGCGCGCTGGCTTTGGTGGTCCGAGGAGCGGTCGATCCTCGACGCGTAGCGGCATATCCCTGGAGCGTTCCAGGGACATGGCACGATGGGCGGCGTTGCCGCGCTTGTGGCGCTCCACGGGCTCCGGCTCGGAGCCGCTCTCGGAGATGTCGTGCAGATCGCGGGAGCGCGAATAGTGACGCCTCTTGCGGAAATCGACCTCGTCGCTGCCGTGCTCCAGATGCTGCATGGACGTGGCACGTTGACGGCTTGTCGACGTCGAATTCGACATCGTCATCGAATTCGAATTCGAATTTGCTGCCTGCCCCGCCGACAGACTGTGGCGATAATCGCGCGACGGCGGCGGCGGACTGCGATCCAAATTGTAGGCGCTCTGCGAGTGCTTCGATTGCGCCAATTGTGTGCGGCGTCTGTGGAGGATTCAGTAGCGCAAATTATTAGTCAAAGTTGCATCTGTGTGGACTACACACAGAGAAAAAATCTCACTGAATTCTATAGAAGTTTGACATACTTTTGGCGCCAACGAAAAGTCACTACATTTTTGTTACCTGAACTCAAATATAGCACTCGAGATTGTAAATCCCAAGAATATTTTCAGAAAGAACTTTTTCAAAACAGGATTTGTATTTACTAAATTGCAATGGGACTTTTTTCTGAGTGTAGAGGCAGCAATCACTCACCGAGGCATGCTGCTGGCCTTGGAAATGGTCGGCGGATTCGAGTCCAGATCGGTGTCGCCAAAGAAACGCAAATTCTTTGCTGGCGCCGCAGACGCATTGCGTTTGGTGCGCTTCAAACTGGAGGTGGCCTCGCTGTGTCCATTGACAGAAACATTCAGCTGGAAAGAGCAATGAATGAGTTGGAGTTGGAGTTAAGAGTTGCTCCCGCTGCTCACCTGCTCCTTGGGATTGCTTTTGGCGCGTCGATCGAGTGACTTGAACCAGCCCATTTTCTCGGGTCTGGTCTTGACGGGCGTCGATGATGCAACCGATTCCTTCTTCTTGGGCGGCTTCTCGGCCGAGTCGCGCTTCAGCAGCAAGGGACTAGCTTTCGGTGTGGAGAGACGGCGTCGCATCGAGATGTCCAGTGTCTGCAAGAATTTGGATTTGCATGTTTTGCTTTAGTTTCACGCTCACGTTTTGGGGTCAAAGGTTTGCGACAATTGCACAAGTGTTGCAGCAAGCTGGCAAACGTGGCAAACGGCAACAGGTTGCAATGTGGGACAGGTGGCCTTTGCAACGAGCCTTGCAACGAGCCACAACTACAACTCATGCCTATCTAATGAGTGGCCCTGTTGTTATTGTTGCTGTTGTTGCTGTTGCTGTTGTTGCGCCCACAAGCAGCACAGGCCGCAACAATAACAATAACAATGTCAGCTCAGCTCAGCTCGGCGTTGCAAACCAAAACTTGTTTTGCCATTTGCAAATTTTTGCCTCGCTTTTGGTTGTCAGCCCAATGATACTTTGGCCCACTTGCCGTTGATATTGTTATTATTATGCTATATATATAGATAGATATATAGAAAAAGAGCAAAACAGAGAATGTGTTTGTTCTTTGCCTCTTACATGATACACTCAGAGAAAGGTCGAACTGAATTTTAAACAAATCGTCGCCCTTTTGGCGCCAAGTCTAATCCACGTTATTATTCAGAAATTATCTTTTTAAAATTGAATAATTTACATTTCTTTAATGAAATGATTTTTTCTAAGAATCTAAGAATCTAATATCCTGAATATTCATATCTACTTTTTAGATATGCATTTATTAATAATTGCAAATAGTTCTGCAAATATTTTTGGTATTGTCAATTTCGTGCAATCCATTCTAATTTTTAGAAAATATATATATAAATCAACTAGAAAAGCTTTCTAATTTTCAGTGCAATTTTTAGTTTGGGTAGAGTTTTGTTCGGAGTGTATGTCAAAAGCAAAAGCAAAAGCAAAACAATTCAGAATTCGATTTGGAAGTCGATCTCAACGCTTACGCACCCACAGCGTAATTAAATATTCAAATATAGCCGCCGCCGAGCAGCCTTAATATGGTTTATGGCCCCGCGTTTGGCCATAAATTAGCTAACAACATTATTGGCGCACCAATTTCAAGATTTTTGGTCTTGTAGAATCTTCGAAATGAATGCCAGACACTTTATGTTTATTTGTGAAACATTTATTGTGCGTTTTCGAGCTGTTGTTATTGTTGTTATTCTGTCTTTTTATGACCCTGGGGCATGAGCATGAATAATAGCCGCATATTGTCCAAATCGTTTACCACCAACCAGCCGCCAACCACTCGAAACTTTCTGAGGCACCCAAAAAGCACATTTTGACAACGAGCCACACCTTTCGACTTCGGCATTCAATAAACCACAAACAACCCAACAACGATGCCTCCACTGACCCTCAGCCTCCTCGAGATGCCCTCCTGCTGCAGGATGAGCATCACTTGAGACACGGCTGTGAATCCATTGTTTGGCATGGCTTTAGGTGAAGGATCTTCATTCTTTTTACATATATATACATATATATATATTGCTCTTATCACTGTGAATCCGCGTTTAATTGTCTTATTGACTTGAATTTGGAATCATATTAAAAAGTATTTAAATCAGTTTTAATCCAACAGTTAAATCGATAGTTTGGCATGGCTTTAACTGATTGATTTTTAGCTTCATTTAATGAATTAATTTTTTGACTCGTTGGTTTTGGATTCTTCAAGCGAAATTTATTGCATTTTGGCGATGTGCAAACAGGGCTTAACAATTGATTCAAGCGTAGAAGCACACACAACTTGTGGTGCTAATTTGTTTGTTGTTGTCGAAGGGTGTTGCAGCAACATCCGCTAGAACAAACTGTGGCAACATCCTCTCTGCCAAGACGCCCAACAAGGTCTCTTCAAAGCCTACAAATTCGCTCAAGCATTGCAAATTAGCCAGCCAGACGGACACACAGACACACAGACAGTCAGCCAACTAGATAAATGGCTGCAGTTGCACAATGGCTTTGGGCCAACAAACAAACAAACACACACACACACACAAACAGTAGCGCCCAAAAACGGTATATTTTTTGCCATGGCTAAATTGAAATCTGTTTCAGTGCGCAGCTTAATCAATTTCTTAATACGCCCCTCGCTGTCAGCTTTCCTAATTCTCAAGAGAGACAAACAGAGAGACAGACAGACAGAGAGACAGAATGACAAACTGACTAGCTGACTAACTGACAGCTGCTGCGTGGGTCTCGCTTAACGCTTTTGTTCTAGCTTAAACGTTGAGTCGAGTTGAGTCTTAAACGCCTCGTCGCCGAATAGTTAGCGACGACTTTTTTTTTACGATTTGCAACTCAATTTGGAGAACGCGCAACGTCCGTTTCTGAATGCCCTTCCTTACGAAGAGCACCACCATTGTGGCATGAAGTGTGTGGATATTTCTAAGCCTAATAAGTACTTCAGTTCTCTTTTGGCACATTGATAACAATCGAACAAGCAATTATCTATATTGGACTGCCTTTGCGAACTTCTAGTAACATGTAGTAGGCATGATTCTCTAGTAAGCATGATTCTCTTTCTGTGCAAACAAATAGTTGCAAATTTATATGATTTTTTCTCTGAGTGTAGAAGCAATCATTCTACTCCTAATTGAACAAGTTGTGTTTTAACATCTTCGAGATCTTTGCAAGGGTATTTAAACTTCGACAAACTGCAAAGAATATTTCAAGCATTCTTTATGGCAGGCTACGTCTTGATTTGATTTGATTTGCTTTGCTTCTCAGTTTGAGATATATACATAAATATATATATATATATATATATGTGTGAGTGTGTCTCTCTAAGTGGATATGGCTCAGTGACATGACGTCTTGTCACTGCACCATTTTCGGCTGGAGCTAGACGCCCACCTTGACAACCTGTCCGTCCCAGCGGCAGTGAGCAGGAAATGCGAACAAGCACACACACATGGACACACACAGTCACACACACATGGACACACACAGTCACACACACATACATACACACATGCTGCTGGCTACGCAACAATTGCGCACAATAAAAAACACAAACAAAAACAAACAATTCGCAACTTGGGGGCGACGACGACGCATCGCCGCAAGTTTTGATTAATTCGAAATTAATAATAGCTGGGCCCATGACCAAGTGTGTGTGTGTGTACGTGTGTGTGTGTGTGAGTGTATGCGTGTGTGTGTGTGTGTGCGATTTTTAAGCAGCTCGCTCCACCAAAATGTGACCCAACGAACGCATTTGGGTTCAACGAACCCCAACGCAAGCCGCGGTAAGCGAGCCATCAATTGGCCATTAAGAGCTGGGTCAACCAGTTGATCAGCTACACTCACAAAAACTTTTGAAAATCGTCCTAGAATAAAAACTGCCTTAGGCTGAAAATTGTCCTAAGAATTTGAAAGTTTTGCATGTTTTTTGCAATAGTTTCTAGAAAACCTTGACGTAAATCGACAATCCCAAAAATATGGTGGCAAAATTTTAAGAAATCCATTTCTGAAATGTAGAAATCCAAGTTCTTGTTTCAAGTTCATTTATAAGAATTTTTTTAAAAATATACTTTCTGAGTAATAAGTTTCTAAAATTCCGCTCAATGTGTTCCTTATTTTTTCTGAGTGTACGTTTAAAAGAGCAAATCACCTGCACATTCTCTGTTATGCACTTTTTTTTGTTGAGTGTAATCCGTTGAGTGTAATCAGTTGAGTGAGGGCGACTTACCTTTGGTTCGCGTGAGGTCTCCTCGCTGAGGGTCTGATGCTCGCGATAGCGTGACCGCATCTCCTCCTCCCGCACCATGTAACGCTCCCGATCCTTGGAGCTCCGCTCCTTCTCCTTGTTGCGGCGACTCAGAGTGCTGCTCGTGCCATTCGTTAGACGCGATTGGTTATCCTTTTTGCTGCTGGACACGTTGCTGCCACTGCTGCGTCCGCTGCCGCCGTTGCCACTGCCACTTGTCGTGCCCGTAAACAGTTGTTTGACCTTCTCGAAGCCGCCCAGTTTCTTGTTGCGCTTCAAAGTGCTCGAATCCTTGGCCGGTGGCACGTGTTGCAACTGCTGTTGCTGCTGATCGCGACGTCTCAGAGTGCTCGTCGACACCGTGGGATACTTGTCCAGGTGCGGATCAAAGTGCGAGCCGTCGTCAATCGATCTCTCGCGATAGATGTAACTGTGTTCGCGACGCTGCTGCTGCTGCTGGCGCTGCAGCTCCAGCTGCTGGGCGCTCTCGCGGCGTTCCTTGCGCAAAAAGGACTCGCAGGCCCGCATATCGTCGAGGGGCGTGCGTTTGCGCCATCTGAACAAAACCAAAGAAACTCACTTTTAATCTTCAATTAAGACTGGAATTTAATCTTCAGTTAAGACTGGAATTCAGTAAATTTTGACTAACTTTTCTATTAGCATCATTGCCAAAGCAAATCTATCTGAGACCGTCCAGTTATTTATATATAATTATTTTGATTCACAAGTTATTCTGTGTGTAAGCTAAGCATAGTCCTCTTCACTTACCTTGTGGTCAGGTCGCCATTGAAGGACTCCTTGCGAAAATCATTCTCAATGCCGGAATCGCCCTTGTCGAAGCTGCGCTGCTGCAACTTGTCCCGCTTGAGGCTGCTCTGCCAGTAGTCCTGCTGCTGCTGCTGCTGCTGTTGCCTGCCACGCTCCGTAATCCGCAGCTCTGGCGAGGACCGATACTGATCCGTCAACTGTGAGTCAAGGCTCTTCGGCTCCTGCTGCTCCTCGTTGTGGAGTAGTTCGCGTGTCGCGGAGCCGCCAAGCCGTTCACGATGACGCGTCTCACGCACCTGTCCATCCTTTTGGGTCTCCCGCACATAGGTCTCCTTGACGCCACCGCCATGTCCGTCATCATAGTACTTGGTGTGGCGATAGCGCGAGCTCTTCTCCGTACGGCCATCCAAGTTGTCAGCTGGCGCCTGATAACGCTGATGACGCTGATAACGATCATCATCGTTGGGCAGCTCACGCTCCTGGGTACGCTCACGCTCTCGCTCCCTTTCCCGCTCCCTCTCTGGACTGTGATAGTCACGCAAAGGTTCACGCTCCTGCCTGTGCTGAATATGCTGACGCTCCAGGGTGGCGCCGTCGCCAAAGCGTCGCGTCAGAATGCGATTCTCCAGCTGTGCCCGCCTATAGCCCAACTCATCCAGATACGGCGCCGGACTGACGCTGCGTATAACTGGGACAATTGGTGGCTCGCCACGTCGATGGTCTCGTTTCGTGTAGTCATCCTCGTAGTAGAGTTTGCGTGTCTCATAGCCCAGTCCCTCGTCCTCATCGCTCAGATTGCGTGGACTGAGCTGTTGCCATGGCGATGGTGAATGCGAGCTGGCCAATCTTGTCGTGGCTGCTCCACCATTTTGCAACGGCGAATAGCTGCGATGTGGTTGCTGTGCCAATGGCTGTGCTCTATCATTGGCTCGTGGTGGCCTGGGTGGTGCAAATTCACGTTGTGGCTGTCGATGCTGCTGCTGCTGTTGCTGCTGCTCGTCGCTGTGATCGAGCTGGGCATAGGTGATGATGCCCTCATTGGGTCGTATATACGAGAAGCCCGGCTGACTAATGACCGGCTGTGGCGAGAAGCGTTCCATCGAGAGACGCTTGACCAGACCGTTGACGGTGCGTCCCTTGGTCAGCGGCAAGCGCTCCGCTGGCTGCTGTGAACTATGCATATTCTCACTGGATTTGGACTTCAGTGTCTCAATCCGATCCCGGATGCCCGCCGATATGTTTGATGGCGCCGCCTGGGACTGCTTGTCGAGGGGTAGCAACTGGGTCAGTCCCAACTCACTGGCATGCTTCTCACGCACAGTGACTGCGTCCGATTTGCGTCGTTCGCGCTCCCGAAAATAGTCCTGCTCAAAGAAGTCCTCGCGCTGCGACTGCTCAATAATGGGACTCAACTGCTGCTTGGCTGTGGTTGTGGCACTAGTGCTACTCGTCGGCTCACTCTTCTTGCTTAGTTTGCTGCGCGTTTCCTTTGGGGTGCTGCCGACATCACTTTTACTGCGCACTAAACGCCGACCGCCGCCGTCCTCGAAGCGTGGATCTCGCTCGAGCTGGCTGACATTCGTGTCGCTCTTGCGACTGAACAGACCAAAGATCGATGGGCGTTTCGAGGCGGGTTTCGAGGCGGGTTTCGTGACGGGTTTCGTGGCGGGTTTCTTTGCGGCGGCGTCACTTACACTGCGTGCCACCGGCTTACCTTTGCCCTTGCGTCGTCGCGTCGGCAGCGAATGAAAGCGTTGCGTATCGCTGGCTGCGGCTGAGGCACTTGGCGCCTGACCACGCTTCTGTTTCACTCGGAATGTGGGTATGTTATCACCGTTCGCTGCTTTGCTGTGATGCTGACCCGCCTGAGCGATGACCAGTGCAGCCTCCTTGCGTATATCCTCCGGATCGATGTCGGGCGGCAGCTGATGATAGCCGTGCGGTATGCCCGGATGTGGCGGTTGCAAATCTGTCGTCTCGTAGTCGTACTCCGAGGGTTTACCTACACACACAGAGAGAGAGAGAGAGAGAGAGAAGCTGATTTTAAATAGAGTTCGCATTCATGTAATGATAATTAGCACATTAGCTATAACAACTCGCCGCTCAGCTGAGAGCTGTTGATGATGTAATACGTTAGTTAACAGCCAGCAAGCCAACAAGCCAGCCAGTCAGTCTCTCGAAAGTGTGAATTGGCCAACAGCAGCTGGCTGCTAAATAAGGCAGCCTGTTTGGGGTCGACTTTAGCTGGTTGTGACCAACAATGGATTTGGCATTAGCCCACGTTTGCTAGTCTGTAATCGGGCGCTGTAAGCGCTAATGGCCATTGAAGAGTCTCGAGTCGCTACTTGAAGATCATAAAGATTCTTTCAGTCACTTCCTCACTTGTTCTTCTTCCATAATCATTATTATTGAAAATACCCCGACCGACCAACAAAAATACAAAATACAAAAAACAGAAAAACAAAAAACGTGCCGCGCTCTATTCACTTCTATCAAGCAGCAAATCCAAAACGCGATCATCATCATCATGGCCAAAACAAGATTGCTGCTGTTGCTGCTGTTGCTGCTATTGCTGCTGCTGCAAACACCAAACGTGCGTGTTCTTTGATAGCTTTTTTAGCTCTTTGTTTCTTGTTTTTTACTATTGTTGCTGTTGTTTTTCTTGCCCCTTGACGGCTCATCAGCTCAAGTCAACTCGGCGCAGCTTTGAACGGGAGCAATCACAACAATCACACAACAACATAGTATGCACGAGATTACGCATCTTGACAATCAGCACTTGTTAAGCTGTTATAAAGAACATGCTACAAGTTTGTTGCCTAAGTCATTTGTTTTTTCTCTTACTTGCGTGCCACTAACTGCACCGACCTTGCAACCAAAGCGAGGTTGCCAAGTCCCTACCATTTATGTATTTATAATATTAAGTAAAAATACAAAAAGTAGAAAATAATTTCAATTAATAATTTAATTTAAAATTTAATTTTTAAATTTTAATGCAAAAAAAGATCAATATAAAAAAGATATTTGCCTAAACTCAACTAAGTCTTATTATTCCCTACATTTAAACAAGTAGGAATGCTCCAGTCGAAAGAGCTCGACGAGGAGTTACCCTTAATAAGGAAGGAGGAGCATCTTCGCGTGCAGTTGCGACTGCATTTTCCCAGGCTGTCATATTGCTGAGCCGGGTAGCCAAACGTGGTTAAGATAGTAAAAAAGCTTGGCCAAAGCTGATAAGCTACAATGATTAATGACAAGCTGGGCGTGGCAAGTGTCAAATTGGCTTCATACCCGGTGCTATTCATGTGGCATGCTGGCCTATGCTGTGGCTAATAGAACTCATAGAGAGATCAAGAAATTCATAAGTATACACTCGAAAAAAAGCGTCATACATTTTAGTAAATCGCGCTGAAAACTATAAAGTTTTGGTTGGTTTTAAATATATGAAAACACTTTTTTAAGAAAATGCATTTCTAAAAAGTTGAACAGCGGAAAAACGCTGATTCTTAGATAAAATAATAATAATAAAAAAATGTTCTACTTTTACACACAAAGAAAACAACCCGCAGGAAATTAGAGAAATTTACTTTCTCCTGGGTGAATTTCGAAAATTAAGTGTGTTTTTTTGCTGAGTGTATGAGTGCCATGTTCGCTTATGCCACAGCAATTGCAGCTTGCCAAAATGATGAGCGTGCCGCAAGCGGCGATCAACCGCGATCAAGCCATATGTGTCAAGGTAAAATGTATGTGGCTATGCAACACACACACACACACACAAACACACTCACGCACACACACATAGATCTGGTGTGTGATGGGTGCTGCCAGTTTAAGGTTTCTCGAGGAGCCACAACCACAGTCGCATGTTCATCACTTTGTGGTTGCTTCTTGTTGTCGTTGTTGTTGTTGTTGTTGGTTGCAATGCCGTTGAGAGTTGAGAGGAGAGTTGCGTTTGGCTGGAGGTGTTTCAGGCCGTTTTGTGGCTGCTTTTGCTTTTGGGCAACAGGAAAACATAAATTGCGACTAAGCGACAGTTGGTTACCGCCTGGACAACCGACAGACCGACAAACCGACCGATGGACGGATGACTGCCAGTGAAACTGCGCCTCCAACTCAATGTCGACGACTAACAGTAAACGCTTCGCATTCCCAGAGATCTAAGCCAAAAAAAAACAACTAAACAAAAAAAACAGAGAAAAAATACAATGATAGCCGAACTGGCTCTGGTTTCAACGAGTGCAGCTATGATTGATTGCGAAAGCTTGGCAAACTATCAAAGCAAAAAGGCAAAGGCGCTGAAAGCCATTCATTAATTTAATCATCGATCCACTTAATGAATTCGAGCCATGGCCAACGGGCTCTGTGATTTGTGTGTGCCCATGCCGAATGGGCTTTAAAAATCAGCCGGAAAAATGCCTTCAGGAGCAAGAAGAAATTTAGAAAAGTCTGCTCTTTTTTTTCGCATTTTGACGCATGGCGATAAGAAATCTGTTCCAATTTGGAGGCCTTTTCAAATTGCAAGCTGCTTGCAGAGTTGCCCGTTCCGGCTTTCTTTATATTCACAGCTGCAGTCAACACAATATATGTTTAGGAAAATGTTAAAAAAATAGTTCAGATTTTGTTTTAAAATTGTGAAAATTGTATTTTAACATAAGCAATCAATACTGATCATAAGTAAGTATTGAGAAATGGAATGGCTATAAAATTATTAACAAAAACAAATTAAAGTCTTTAAGTCTATCACAAATGTGCTGGTTAAAATAATAGTAGTGGAATAGTTGAGAATCTTACTAATATGTCTAAAAATTAGATATAATGTGTGGATTTATTGCCTAGAGAAATCTAGAGAAATCGATTTCAAAGAACTATTCCTTGTCTACCAAAGTTTGAAATTATACGTTAGAAACAGTTCTTTAACTTTACAAAGGTCTCGATTTTCAGTAGTACTAGATTTGCCACGCACCATTTTATATATAAATGAAATAAATAAGTAACAATCTTTTGATTTTATTCAATAAACCCTCAATAAACTCGTACAGTTTTAAATATTCCAAGTATTTTCGACAGCACAACTATTATTTTGACCACAAGTGTATAAATGGTTGTTGCAAGTACGAACATAATTTGGATTTCGTGATAGCCACAAATCGCAGCACACTGACCAAGTCCCAAGTCAAATAAATAATAATAATAGCTGTTGGTTTTTCTTTCTTTCTTTCTTTTATTTATTTATTGTTGTTTATTTAATTCTGGGCTTTCACTTGACCAAATAATGCATCCTGCTGCTGCGGCCAACTGCCTGGCAGGGCTCATTAAGAGCAACTTAATGCCAACCGCGATGCGTTTGGGCCCCAAAAATGATTCATATCTGGATGGCGCCCACCAGCTGTCAAGTGCAGTGCAGATAACTGGCTTTTAGGCCTGCCTCCCACCCGTCGACCACTACTGGTCTAGCGCTCTGGTCTGGTTCAACATTGTAGCGCTAATGAGCCGACCGATCGACAGGGCTTAAGTTGGCCAGCAAAAGCAAAGTATATGCGCGAAGGCAAATGGGCAAAGTGGCATGCCACAGTGCCAAAGATCTTGCGGCTCATGGCCATTCGGCCCCGCCGCAGCATGCCACATCGAAGTGCCTCGAAGTGGCTCGCATCGAAGTGCGGCGCGCCTTTGGGGCATTTCAATTAACCTGCGCACTTTCGATTTCATTGGATCAGGAACCTGGGCCTGGCTACACTCAGCAAAAAAACAATTACCTTGGAGATCAGAAAGTATATTTCTAAAAGCCAGCTTTTTGCTTTTCTTACATTTTTTCTAAAATATATAAATAAATCTTTCAGATGGTTTTTGATATATGTACAAGAACAGCAACTCTAAGATTAGCTTTTTTGTAGCTTATATTATTAATAAAGATTAGTATTTGATGATTTCGCATACATAAACATAATTTGGATAGTTTATAGATTCATATAATTTAATTTGACTACCCACTGTGCTAATCGGCCTTTAAGGCAGACAACAGCTAAATGGCTAATATAAAAGACGAGTCATTAAATTTAATTGCTTCTTTCTGAATTTTAGAAAGGATTTGCAATTCTACTTATAGAATTTTTGGGATTTTTGATTTCTAGAATTTATTGATGGTTTTCTGTTTTCTAAAGTTGAGAGCAACATTTTTTCTGAGTGCAGTGACTGCAACTTGAGGCTGCAAGACTTGAGGTTTATCTAGGCGGGCCCCAGAGCAGCAATTCCAATGCTAAACGGCTCCGCACTCATTCCAGAATTGAAATAATTGAATGCCCTTGTGTGCGCTTATCGTTGAGCAGCAGAACCAGGGAGACTGGACTGAACAGAGATCAGAGAGTTCCCATGCTGCCAATGCGCCTAATCACATCAAAAGCGATGCCGCCACGCGTCCTTGAGGGCACTGGCAGTGAGGGAGGAATGGAGGGAGGCTGGGAGGATGGGAGGCAGGGATGCTCTGCCTTTCTCTGGCAGTGACAAGTATGCAAATAAGCCAAGTGTATTTTGACATGCGAGTGCCTCGAACCAGTCTAAAAGTCGCCCTCCCCAATTAAAATACCCACAATGAGTCGTTGTCTGGGTTGAAGTTGAACGTTGATGCTGAAGTTGAAGTTTAAGCTGAGATCTGTTTAAGCTGTTGTCGACTGGCTTTCAAAACAAATATATGTATATATATAAAAACAAATAGAAACTTTCGCTAAAGAATAGATGCGGTTCATGCGGTTCGGTTCGTCGTTAGCCTGGTCAATAGCGACAGAGACTTGAAGCGACAAACGTGTTTCGCACAGCAGCTGTCAACAGCACATTAAGTGAGAGCAAATAACAATAACAACACACACACACAACAGCACACACATACACACATATATAAGCAGAGTGCCAAAAGTTTTGCTAAATATAATCCGAGACTCATTTCAATATTTAGGTACACTTCGATAAACAAATGACGCAATCATTTTTGCAAGATTTTTCTTTTTATTTGGAGTTGAAACTGGGAAGGAGAGGAGAATTTCAACTTGCTGCTGGCTGATTGCGCTGATTGAGCTGATCGACAACTCCATTTACCCAATTCGCAATATTATAACAAACACACACACATAAATATATTTAATAATTGCGGCCGCGACACTAACACCCAATGCCAACCGGGCAAAGAACCTGACTGAGCCACAACACGAGTTGGCCAACAAACGACGCAAAATGCGAAGTGCTTACTTAAAGAGAGCGCCTCAGAGCCTCAGCGCCAGCCAGCTGCTAACTTGGCTCAAATGCTGACTCGGCTCAAATGCTGACTGCTGCCTGCTGCCTACGCCAATGTCACCCAGTCAAAATAGTGCGAATTGGTGGGCAGTCATAGCCAAAATGAGACTTATTAATTAAGTTTCTGTTTATATTTCTATTTCGCTCATTTCAGTTTTTTACGCCAGCTGACAGTTGTTGAAGCACTTAAAAACCGCATATGCAAATTGTGTATTAAAACCCAAAGTAATAAAATTTAAATGGCATTTTAATGGCGTGTGCAGATCTCCGTCTTCATCATCGTCTCAAACTACGTCTTTTCATGCGGGTGGTTCTACAGTAGATAGTTGTTTTGGTTTTGGTTTTGGTTTTCATTTTTGTTGTTTCCTTTTCTTAACAAGTATGTAATAATCAAGTTTGACAAATTCGAGCATTCCATGCGAATATTGCGTAATAGAAAAACAAACAAACAATGTTGCCATAAACAAGTACAGAATGCCAGTCTTAGACACGCCGAAGCTTAAATACCCTTGTAGATCGCTGTTAAATTGCCGTGAAATTTGGATTCACTATAAATTTAGAAAAGCAAACAATTGTGTCTAGATGTTATAGTAGTTAGCATAATAACACACAAAACTAATGAGTTTCTTTTTGGGATAACTATTTGAACAACAAAGTTGTGTTCATAAAAGAATTCATCTTATTGTTGGGAGCATAATGATAAGCTTATTGGGAAATAAAAAAATTGCGAAGCAGAATCTGGCCGACAATGACATATGTACAGTCTGCTGCAGTTGGAAGGATACATGCCAAGCTTCAACAAAATAGCCTTAAAATTGAGAGACAAGTTTGCGCAGAAAAAGGCAGGCAGATGAATAAGCCTCTATCGACATGGCTAGTTGTGCTGATCAGGCATATATATACAGCTTATAAAACGACAAAAATAACGATAAAATACTTTGCATCAGGCACATCAACTTCAACTTGTTTGCTCAACTCAATCATTGTTACAGGTTATCTAATTAAGAGCTAATCAAATTCAAATCTCGGCAACAAATTAAAAAGCACAGCTAGCAAAACGGTATAGAAAATTGCACGAGTCGGAAACGTTTTTTCAGTTTTAATTAATTAATGAAAATATATATATGGATATGAGAGTATCTCATTAAAATACATTATGTATAAAATACAGTAGCAAAAAAAACAAATAAAAATACGGAGCAAGCGGCAGCCCCGCTAAGAAAGCTAATTTAATTACGTTGCAAATTGCAAGCGAATATTACGTAATCATGATCCAGCTGGCCACATGGGGGGCTAGCCAATTATGGCTAACTTAACAACACTTGTTGCAAGATCAGATGCCATAATATGGAATCAATTAAAGTGCCGCGCAGCATTATGGAACTCTGCAGTCGGCCACAGCAGAGATTATGTCATCCCCGCGAGTTCAAGTGCATTCACACTTGTCCTGCCCTCCGGTGAGGAGCAAGTGCAGCATCAAGATACACAACAATAAAAGCAATAATAATAACATCAACAACAGCAGTTTAAACTACATATTTGAGGCAGCTGGCAGCTAGCAGCTAGCAGCTGGCAGCCTTTGCAGCTGAGCGCGACTCGTTTTTGCCAAATTTGGTCGCTACGCAAGGTTGCCCCCGAGATGTACACACACTCAGACTTGCACTCACACTCACAATCATATTCACACTCAGACTCATAGCTGAGTTTGTTATTGTTTTTGTTGACTTGTCTTGTCAACAGCAGTGTGAGTTGCTCATCTGTAAAGTCAAAGAGCGCACAGAAATTGACTGAAATTAGCCAGCTCATATATTCAAATATGTGCCTATATATATATATATATATAGATGTAGATACGTGTACGTAAGTGAGCTGAAATTAATTCATCATCTTTATCTGTGTTTTCTCACATAATTGCCTCAATTTGCATGTGAACAACGAAGTCATTTAAAACATTATGCTTAACTACTACAGATGACGACCTATGTCGTTAAATGCTAAACGCTGGCGCCTTGGCCGTTTTTAGATTTCGATTAGGACTATAAGATAATTGTCAGAGCATATATCTTATTAAAATGCCTCGTCAATCTAATACGAGAACCATTTTTTGTTTTGTAATTTAGTTTCTCGCTTCTTTGCCGTTTTGCGATGGGACTTTGAGATTTACAAAATGTCAGTGAATTAATCTTATTAAAATGTCTCGTCGATCCAAAATAGAAAACATTTAAAAAATGTTTATGTTTAAATTGAATTTCTTAATTATTTGGCTTTCAATTGTCAACCTTTTGGACTTGCGTCCAAGGCCACAAACACAAATTAAACTAAGCCAAAATGGTTAACAAAATAAATAATTGAGTAACAGTTTATTTTAATTACGTAGCAAATCAGATCAGACCATATCTGTGAGCAAAAACTGCAGCAGCGAGAATAGCTCATAAGGAAATTCAAGTTGCCCGAAAAAAAGCAAAAACAAGAACAAAAAACAAAAGACTCAGGCAACGAACGCGGCATGCCAATTACATATGGCCTGAGTATGAAACAGAGAAAGAGACAGAGACAGAGAGTATGAGAGGAGGAAGATGAGAAGGCCACTCTGTGCACAGACGCATCTATTAAAGCTAGCTAAATAATTTACATTTGTGCCGCTTTTGTCATAATCAATTTTTAATTTCTTCATTTCAGACAGTCGCCATAAATTCCATGCCGGCTTTGGGATAAATCGCATTGCCCAGCAATTAAATTGCGTCGCTTGTTCTTGTTGCTGTTGCTGTTCTTGTTGCTGTTGCTGTTGTTGTTGCTGTCCCTGCTGCCAGACATAATCATAACAATAATAATGTAGTCGACTCCGGAGACAAACAGACAGTTGCAGCAGCAGCAGCAGCCAGTTTTGTTTTTTTACTGGGCATATTTTTAATGCGAGTGCCACTGATGAGTTTTTTGTTTTTGTTTTTGTTGCCTGATGTGCAAAGTGATACTTTGTGCAACAGAGAGTGTGGCCTGCTTGCTGCTTGTAATGCCTTATAAAATATCTACTTATTTAAAATAGTTATAGCTTGCCCAGTACGTGTGTGTGTGTGTGAGAGTGTGAGAGAGTGTGTGTGAGTGCTCTCGAGCGCTCTCAAGGTAAACTACATTTTATTGTTGAGGCGGCATTGTTACGAGCATTGCTTTTGGCATTCGTTCTGGCTTACTCGCCCACCTACTATATATATATATATATATCTAAACATATATAAATATTATATATATATATAAATAATATGTATAGTACACATGCTGAGTGGCAGGCAATCAATATCATCATCAAATAATGCAATTGATGGATGCCCAAATGTCAACTTTGGTTTCTTGGTTGCAGTTAATGTTCTGTGTTGTTTTTGCTGCTGTTGCCCATTTAGCAGCCAAATGAAGGTGATTCGCTTGCCCGATTTGTCTGACCATCATCATCATCATCCTCATCTCAGAACGTCAGCAGCTGTTGTGAGTGTTATTTTGTGACTGCGACTGCCCAGTTAATTAGTTAGTTGAATTATGTAGTCATGTTCATTTGTTGCTTTCGGCGTGGGTTGTTAGCGGCATTGATTGACCAAAATTAGCCTGTGTCGAAATGTGTGTATGTGTGTGTTTAAGTATATACAGCTGCGGTCGAAATAAATGGTAATTTAAACATACAAAAAATACTTAAAATATAATTCAAAAATTATTAAAATTTAATCTGAATACAAGCAATCAATACTGAAGATTGGCGTAGCTATAAAATTATTAACAAAAAACTCAAGATAATACTGAAATGAATGTGCGTCTTTTCTGAAAACTAGATATGATGTAGGTAAACTAAAATAAATATGAGCGGAGTTATATCCTAGATGGATTATTAAAGTATCTATGATAATATGAAGAATCTGCATTTTATGAAGCAGCGCTACTATTATTTTGACCGCTGCTGTAAATATATATATTATACTTAAATATATGCAGCTTGTTGCTGGAGCTGTTTTAGTCTGGCAGAGAGTTATTGAATGAAATGTTTTGTAGTTTTTAATTAAAAGCAGCAGCTTACACTTATGCAAGTCTGGGTGAGTGTGCGTGTGTGTGTATGGTGAGTGTGTGTGTGTGTGTGTGTTGCGGTTATTCTTTGAGGTTATATGCCTTAAACACAACACACTGACCTATGCGCTTCACGTGTACATCTCGATTGAAGCTGACACGTGGTCCGCCATTTGCTGTTGCTGTTGCAGTTGCAGTTGTTGTTCCAGGCATTTGTTGAGGTTGCGGCGGCATTCTGCTGGGTTTCTGATGGGTTTGTTGTGGATTTGATCTTATGGTTTACCAATTTTCTCTTGCGTCGCTTTAAATTTCTCACTTGGCTTTTGGAAAAGTGTTAAGCAGCTGTTCCGGGCATTTTCTTTTCTTTTATTTTGATTTGTTTTTAAGTTATGCTCAATTTGACAGTCGCTTTTGATGAGATGATATCAAATATCAAAATATTTATGGGGCTGTCAAAGTGTCGAACTGCAATTCGAATATAGAAATAAAGAAGAAGAAAAAGACAAGTCTCAAATGTCAAATGTTGTACTTATTATTGTTGTTTGTTTGTTTGTTTGCTGTTAAAGTTGTTGTTGTTGTTGTTGTTTTTGTTGTTGTTGCTTGTTTTGCTTGTTAGACTCTCTGCACCTCATTAACTGCGACCTGGTTAAGTTTTGTTGGTTTGTTGGTTTGGTGTGTTACTTAAATAAATCAAATTTATTAAATTGCCTTATTAATGGCCACTTGACATGCGCCAGCGAAAGTGTTATTAAAATTAAATCAAAGCAGCAGATCTATCACAAAGCAAAAAAAAAACAAAAGACAGCTCATCAGAGAGTCAGTTATTTTGTGTGCCGCAGACAACGCAATAAAACCATAAGAAATTAGAAATGAACGCAAAAAATATAATAAAAAGTAAACAAGCAGACAGACGGCAGTGAGAAGAATAATTGCCAATTAATAAAAAGCCAATGACTCTGAATCGGAATCCCAAAATGTATTAAAAATCATTGTAAAGCTGCAAACGCAAACGGTTGGCGGAGTTGGAGAGCAATTCGAAGTGGGCAGAGCGAATCAAGTTTGTTTTGAGTTACGCCTGTTAGCCGGAGCAAAAACGCACAACAAAGACATTATGAGGGTGTTTTTTGTCTGCATACGATATTATATATATATATATTTAATTCGAGTCTTACTCTTGACTGTTGTCATTGTCACATGCGAGCGACTTTGAATTGGCAATTCGATTGGATGAAGTGGCACCGATTGGAGTCGAGTCTGGCAACGAATAACAATACAAAGCGGATGTGGGGAGAACCATGAGCAGCACTCCATTTGTACTATCTACCACGTCCTCCCCCTCCCCCCCACCCCATCCAACAAACGACATTTGGGTGTGTCCTGCAGCCGGCAAGCAAAAAAAATATGTTGATTGCGATTAAGCAAACGCGATAATATTCATATTTGAATGCGAGGCAACCAAAGCTCTATTTAAACAATGCATTATGCCCGAGGATGTGCCGCACATGCACACACGAGTGCTGCTCTTGCAACCTTACAGCCAGGCAACCCAGGCAGCCCAGGCAAGTGCGCTAAGCAGGCGCAGCCAATGCGTCCAAGTATCCCACTTACTCGTTCCCCAAACGTTCCTCCAATCGTCCCCCAGTCTTATAGCGACTCACGCACGCACCCACCCAAACCGCGCAGCTCTCTCTCTCTCTCTCTCTCCCTCTCTCTCGTAATGGGTAGAAAATGCATGCCCATTATGGCACCTGGTCAGGGGCCGAGTCGTAATCATAGCCAGCCGGCTACACTCAGCAAAACAAAAGCACATCGCCCTGAAAACCATATCAATTTTCTTGTCTTATGAAATAAGATGTTAGATTGTTTGCATATATACAAAAAAATCTAATAAAAATTCCACTAAGGTATGCTAACTTTGGCGCCAAAAGTATGGTGAATTTTTAAATTTCAATTCGAATTTTTGCTGAGTGTAGCTGGCTGAAGAGGAACACAGATAGACATCAATGCAGGCTGCCTGCCCATTCACTTACTGGCTTACTTACAGACAGGACAGCTCTCCAATCTAACAAGCACACAGAGAGAGACAGAGAGCGAGAGAGAGAGAAAGAGAGAGAAAGGGGAGGGAGAGAGAGAGAGGGGTTAGAGAGACTGAGCAGCAATCGAGCAACTAGACGTCAATGATCATGACTAGTAGAACCTCGTGTCTGTCTGACTGTCTGTTTGTCTGTCTGTCTGTTTGTGCCCAGCTGGAGTTGGAGCGGGTACGCAAAACGCTTGGAGCTGCCAATAAAAATCCTTTACCATATAATTTGAGTGGCCATGCGTGCGCTCTGACATTGATGGGAAGCTGACTAGTCAGAATGCATGCATGCAGCAACAACGCAGACGAAGACGAAGACGAAGACTGCCAATTCCTTGTAGCCCCCAACAACCAGGTTGGTTGGTTGTTGACCATGTTGCCCAGATGCCGATGCCGATGCCGATTGTTGCGCGTTGATTGCGCCATGAACGTGATTTGTTTGTAAACACGCATTATTAAGGTGTAATAAACATACAATTTGCAGCGCTCCGAAGCGTAGGAGCTCTGTGCGTACATACATAAATAGAATATATATATATATATGTATATCCATATTTATATTTAATATGTATATAAACAGGAAGAACCTTCTAAATTTCAGTGCGCCTTTCATCCCAAGTTTTTTTTACATTTATTATTAATAATAATAATAAAAGGCTGCTTTTCAAAATTTTTATTTAGAATTTTTTTTGCATGTTAACAATTTATTTTATAAGACTATAAAATTGATATAGTTTTCGTTTTTAATTAGGATTCTACTATATATATCTTGTTTGCTGAATGCATGGCAAGAACAGACTAAGAATACTAAATCAAAACACTAGACTAAGAAGTCACCAAGCTAAGCTAGATAATAATCAGTAGTGAGCTCGGCCAATTTTGTAATAATCAGAAGAAAAAACTCAAAGTCTTAGCCACAAAAAGAGGTGGTACTCTAGGGAAACACAGCCAGTCTCACTCCAAAAATTAGGGTTAATGGTAGAGCTGTGAAGCTCAAAACATAAACAGCATTCAATTAGCAAACGTAACGCAATTTGTATCTAATTTCAGTCACAATTGCGTAGTGTGTAGCTAATTTTATACAAATTATTTTAAATTATACAATTACAAGCGCTCACTCACTCTTTCTCACACTCTCTCTCTCTCTCTCTCTCTCTACCGCTCCCTCTCTCTCTCTCTCTCTCTCTATCTGACTGTGAGCTCAGAGTCTAGAGTCTGGAGCCAAGCATAATAATGGCTCTGAACTTGAACTTTGACATTGCGAATGAGTATGAAAAAGACAATCAGCAAACATAATGACGGCAACTAAACAACCCAACCCAGCCCAGCCAAACCCTCCTCCTCCGCCCATTGTAACGACCGTGTCAAGTGAAACCAAAAGTGCGGCAACATCAGTTTTGTTGGACGAGGCAGGGAGGCTGGGAGGCGGCGAGGCAATATCGAACGAGCAACAAGCAAACAAACAACGCGTTCGCCCACTTTGCGTGTGTTCTCAGCGCCAGTTGCTCGCTGACCTCTGCGGCTGGGTTCAGGTTCAAGTCGAACACAACCAAAGCAGCTAACAGAAATTGAGTCTGTCTCTCTGTCTAAGTCCGATCTCTTGAGCATACACTCAGCAAAACAAAATTACCGTTGACTAGAACGTTTTTCTTGTTTTTAGAAATAATTGCCAAATATAAGAATACATTTTCGTTCAGATTAGAAAGGTTGTTTTAACTCAATAATCTCAAAGATATGATAATTTTTTTCACTATGTGAATTAAGAAGGTTTTTAAAATTCAATTTTGCTGAGTGTAGCGCGGCCTTTGCGGCCGAAGTGAAAATGAAGGTGTAGTCCAATTTGTAAGTATGGCCAAGCCCCAAGGCTCAGCACAGCAGCCAAAGCAGCCGTCGAGAAGCCGACGTCAAAGTTATGCAAAGCTGTGGCCGGGACTCTCTGCTCCCGGTGGAGCCAGTCCCGAGCAGTCCCGGCTAGTCCCGGCTGGTCCACTCCAGTCCTGCCTAGTGCCTTGTGTTGTCTGGAGCGCATTTTTCCATGCGTGCCGCCTTTTAGCTTTGTTGGTGGCGCTCTGCTTTCCTCTGCTGCTGCTGCTGCTGCTGCTGCAACGTCCATTTGCCGACTTGGCAAATACTTAATTGCATTTCGATATCTATGCTCAGGCATCTGTGAGTGAGGATGCCGCAGCATTGGGGCACTCAGACAGCGGGACAGGCATTTCTTGTGGACATGCAGACGGCTAAAACAGCGCGAGGCTGTTGCTCCTCTCTGTGCTCTGTGTTCTGGTCTGTTCTGTTTACTGATCAGGCTGCTGGTCGCCGATTTTTACAACTAAATTCCCCTGATTCATTTTTGCGCTTTACAAAAGAAATTTGTAATTGCTACTCCCATTTAGAGCCCATATTGCATATCTACGCGCACATCGCGCGGACAACATGACAACTTCGACTTCTTCTTCTTCTTTTCTAATGCCATGCACATCCGTTCAAGCGCCCACACACACACACACACATATATATATATCTATATATATATATATATTGCAATGTCAGCTCTTTTTTCTCGTATCCGCTCTCGCATATTGTTTTGTCATCGTTTTGTTTGCTGCCTGCCCCGTTGATGGTCGTCCGTCAATCTTAGCATCGTCAGTCGTCAGTCACAGTGCCCCCAAACTGGACCCCCTCTCTTTGGCCCTCCTCTCTACCCATACTGTGAGATGGCATTGTGCTTGAGCACGCTGTCATTTTCACGCTTTGTTAGCTCACTAAACTGTATCTCGTCGTCTACAACAACAACAACTACTCTATACTAGGAAGCAGCTACGTTTTTTTCTTTATTTATGACTACATATTTAGTTTATTATGTATGTTAGAAGGTTAATCTCGGCGGCATTACATTGCATGTTTTGCGCCTTTGTGGCAATTTCTTTGCCTTCGCCTTAAAAGACTTGTATAATACTTGTACACCACGCGACAGTACAATGGGGCAGGCAGATATGGTAGCAAAATTTCATATGAGAAAATATTTTTAAAGTGCGAGTGCGGCTACAAAATACTCGAAGCCCACCTATCTAAAAATATCTTCTATTCCCAATATTCCATATTTATGCCTGCTTAGATTTTGTTCTACAACTTGGGTGTTCCTCATCAGAACTTGATGCAACTTGTGCAGTTCTAGATATATTTTATATATTTTATATATTTGTTATACAGACCGACAGACGAACATGGCTACATCAACTCGACTTTTTATGCTGATCATGAATATATATGCTGTATATGTCGCCGATGCATCCTTCTGCATGTTACATACTTGAGCACAAAATCATTATACCCTTATCAATTTGCCCAGTGTATATAACAAAAGCGTTTAGTCTTTTGCTGATGT